ACAGGCGGCTATTTTCTGGGGGGGAAACGAATTTTTAACATTCCCACCTTGCAGTCAAAGACAGGGGCCAATTTAAAACTTTTTGGGGGGGATCGTGGATGTGTATTAGCCGGTTTTCAACCTTGTCCGAGGACATGTCTGTGCTCACTGTTGGCCAGTTCAGTTTAGCCTTGGTGTCCCTCCTGCTTTCATGAAGCATATAATTTAAAGGTTTTGGGCTGAACATATCCCTTAAAGAGCATCTGAGGTAAATGCAGTTTGCGTCTAACTTTAAATGGAGACAGGAAGAGATAAATCATTTAGAAGTAAGTTGTTTTTCCTCAGGCTTGGCTCTGGAGAATGCAACTTTTGCTTTTCTATATTATAGTAAAATCACAGAAAAGTGATACCCAGCTCAGAATGCTGCACGGATGGTTTTCCAGCGTGCACAGTTGCAGCATATTTTTACGCACATACACACCCAAATACTGGAAGATTTCTTCCAAATCTTGCAGTACTATTGTATACGCTGACAGTAGGAATCTACAGTTCATGCAACAGATACATATTTTGTGAATGATGCGTAGAGTTCGTATTTCCTGGTTTTCTGAATGGTTGAGAGAGTTAAAGATAACATCTCACTGAGGTGAACAAGAGGTTCTTAATGGGCTGCTGATGGATGAATAAGTGAAAGTCTCCTGGATGCCCACAGGCTCCTTTTGTTCAGTGCTTTGCATCACGTAGCAGTGCTCACTCTCACTGAGTGACAGTGAGGAATGCTGAGTGTCGCCACAGTGGATGGATGCACGGATTTGATTCAAGGTAGATTTTTACACCTTTCTGATGCTAGCCTCCTATTTACGCTGCTGGTTTATATCAGCTAATTATTTGCTTCATTCGAAACATGCGTGTTGCCAACAGGGAAGTTGCCCTCTGGTTGACATACTATGCAAAGTCAACACCCATAACACGGTTGGAGGATCTTTCTCACCTGTTTTCTGTAACATTTAAATTTTATTAATGCCATTATCCATAGATAGATCTATAGATCCAGTATCTAACGAGAACAAAAAGAAGGAATCCAAGGTCTAGGTGTTATATCATGGCCATATGGCACCAATTCCTCCTTTCCAAAGAAACCTAGGTTGTCAGTGTTGGGTTATTTAAAAAGTCTTGATCAGATATGTTATATCCAAAATATTGGAGGCGGATAAACTTTAAATACCCGTCTAATGTTAGCTCTGTTTGAAAATCAACAATTACCTTTCTGTTGCCTCCCATGCAGATGTAAAAAGTCAGTGATAGGGGAGAGATTTGCAACAAGATCTATGTAAATCATTGCCAAGGTCTGGCAGGGACTTGTTTTGTTGTGTTTGGTGGTTGGAACTGCGGCAGGTCCTGTATATTGATCGCAAGTTCCCAAAACTCGCGCCCTGTTCACACATGTTTAGTTGTCTTCTTTAAAAACCTGACCCGAGTTTGCTGGAAGAGCAATTTACCCTCCAGGACTTTGCGGCGGCAGCAAACTGTGAGCAACTGCAATATGACTCCTTTTATAGAAAATAGAAATAAAAAAACTAGTTCAACGAGTCATAAATAACCACATCATCCAGTTTTAAATGATGTTTCGTTTGTAAACAGACGGATTTGGGACATAATTCAGATCGACTGGGTGCTGTTGATCACGAACGCCACCGTTTGATTGATAGCGTGCATGTATGACCTCGGCTAAAGTTGTTTGTGATGATGATTGGCTTCCTGAACACTTCAAAGAAACAGTTGTGGAGTTCATTGCGTTACATAACTCTGAATGTACAGCTCATCACCCATCATCTGCTAGCTTAAATGTAAATAAATAAACTGTGAGTGGCAGTTTAAAAAGCGGATTTTTTTCAAGCTTTAATAAAACTCTGGGTTTAGAGGAAAGAAAACCATTTTAAACGACTTTTTTGCACAGCCTGATTACTCCTTGTTTGGACAGACGGCGGTTTTTTGGCGCATACGGACACCGTGCAGACACAGACCAGACAACATCTGGCCCACAAACAAACAAATGAGTGTTTACCGGCGCAGTATTTCCATAGTGTCACAGGCTTATTTATGTACACATCAGGCAGATTTCAGTGGAAATTTCCCAGTGGCCCTGGCGTTTGCCAACTATTTGTGTCACAGGACGTCATGTGTGTAAATTTTGACTGTTTAGTTTTAAAGGCAGCGGTTTCTGCCAAGTAGTGTGATTTGTTTGAGGATGGATTCCAACTGGGCTGATAAAACTCATAAAGCACAGACAGCGTTACAGTGTTTGAAAACATCAACTGAATGTGCTTAAATTAGTCGTTCAGCTGCGAACGATTGGTGTTTGGATCCCTTTCAAAGATTCTTGCCCCTTTGTGACATTTGTGGCCGTGGTTTTGCTGCGAAAAGTCGTGATTGGCTTTAAGTGAAAAAAACACACAAGCACACAAAATGGGGAAAAAACTACACCTACATTGTATTCGGTATCAAAGCCAACCGATGATGTCATAGCCAGTATTATCAGGACATTTTCCAGGGCTGGTAAGAAAGAATGGACGGAGGAGAGGGAGTCAATGTTTTCCCGTTCACTGTGGAGGTTTGACATCAACGCAAGCAAATGAAAGGAAATGTTTCCCCAAAATGTTAATATGGAAAAAAAATTTTTTAAAAGAGCTTTTGACAGCTGTTTGAAAACAGTGCCACAAAGTTATTTGGGTCACTATATCATAGAGCAGTGATATCACAAGTCAGTAGCTACAGTATTAACAACCACACACAAGTTTAAGCGCTCTGCTTCTCAGACGTTGTTCTGAGCATCTGCGTGACCCGTTTCCTGCTTTTCTGTCAAGTCAAAGTCAAATTTATTTATATAGCACATTTAAAACAAAAACCATTGACCAAGGTGCTGTACAACTAAGATGATGAAAAGAAATAAAAACATAGGGAGACATGATAAGAGTTAAGAAAAAGAATCATAAAATTAGAAGATTTGAGTAAGAAACAAGAAAAAAGTAATACAAACTCATTCTGATTTAAAAGCCAAGGAATAAAAGTGTGTTTTCAGATGGGTTTTAAAAGTGTCCAGTTTTGGGGAGGTGCTGATGTGAAGGGGCAGTTTGTTCCACAGTTTCGAATCAGTTACAGCAGTTACTCCCCTGTGCTTTAATCTGGACCTCGGGACAGCCAGGAGCAATTGATCCGCAGACCTCAGTGATCTTCCAGGAGTGTAGCAATTTAAAAGATCAGAAATGTATGAGGGTGCTGTAAAAATCTACACTTTTAAATGCTATTGGATAAATAGAAAGGTGTGAGATCTAAAAATACTTGCATGTCTGCAGAATGTGCATCAAGTACAAGTATCAAGTTAAAAATATGACACAGGCCGTTCACACGACCATGGCTGCACAAAACTTCAGTTTTTAGTCTTATTAAAAATGGATTGTGTCAGTAATTTCAAATGAAATCAGCAGTTGGTACCTACACACCGTCTGGGATGTGGTGGCAGCAGGCAGACCTCTCTCTGCTCCGATTTGCCTCTACATTGCTTTTATTGGACTGCATGGCAGCTGACTTGGGCTACGTCCACACGTACACGGGTATTTTTGAAAACGGAGATTTTCCGTTTTCGTTTT